GATCCTCGACCCAATATGCCGAGGGAAAATCACCACGACCGATGGCTTGGACTTGTTCGTCCACCACTTCTGCCATCGTTGTCCACACAAAGTCGTCACTTCGCAACGGCGATATCTTCAATGGCACGTGGACAATGGGGCAAACCAAATCGGGCTTTGCCCCCCAACGGGACAACAAGTCCGCCCACACGTTTGAATCTCCCGTGATGCCATAGTTGATGTAATCGTAACCCATCAACAGCAACGCCCAGTGATCCAACTTTGCTGCCGTGTACTTGGGAATCGCGGCGTTCACGGACGCCGGGTTGAAGATGAACGTGAGGTTTGCGTGGTCGGTGAACAACGCAAATCCACCGGGCTTGTGCAGAAGATAGTCTGCCCGTTTCAAACACTCCACGATGGAGAACGTCTCCTTCTCGACAATTGCCCACCGTTGAGCGGCGCCAGAAAACGTGCCGCTCAGAAATATCAGCGGCTCGTGGTCTTGACTGTTCAGTTCGCGATCCACTTGATCGCGTGGGATTTGAGTCACGACGCCACCCCAATGCAAATCGCTGGCATCGGCAACACACAAATCAGCCGATCTTGCTTCGGGTGAGCTAGGGTCACCACTCGGCTGAGCGCTTCCTTGCACTAATCCAAACACGCTGCGTGGTCAGCGTTCCACTCCACCTCAGCAAGGAGGACCTTGGCCACCTTCTGGCGCATTCGACCGCCCGCCACCTTGTAGACCGACTCCAACAGATCGGTCAACGGCTGTACAATCACATTGTACCTTGGGATCGACATGCGCATCCAATTCATGGCGCATAGAAACTGCTGAAGATCTTGGCCGGTCACCGGCATCTTCAGCTCTTTTAACGCCTTGATGCGTTCGGGATCATGCTTGACGCCCGCGGACGACACGATTCGTCCGCACCAGCGAGCTTCGGTCTCATAGAACCGACACTTCTTGGGATTCAGCTTGAGGCCGCGCTCCTGGCAAATCACCAGCACACGTTCGAGCGCCGCCAGCAAACCTTGCTTGGACTTCTTGTATCCAAGCAAATCATCCAACCAAACCAAGAGCGACTTGTACAACTCGCTCGCGAAAATTTCTTGAACCGACGATTGGCAGTAGGCCACGCTGTCGGTTCCGCCCATCAGCACTCGCGTCGGCGTGTAAACGCCAGTATCCTTGAGGAACGAGAACATTTCTTGCGACGTCTTGTCCAGCGCAAACTGCCAGTAACCCTTGAAGAAGTCAAGGTAAAGAACACTTCTGCGCCGGCCAGGTGATCCAAGATCACCTCCAACATCGGCATCGGTCACAGGATGCGCTCCGTCTGGGCGTTGACCGGACGGACGTCCACTGTCATGCGAAAATCGTTCGCACCGGGTTTCTTGACGATCAAAGGTGCCGACCACCGTTTTGAGCGGGGGTTTCGATAACGCAGCCCCGCTGCCTCCAACTCAGCAACGTGTTTCGCCATGAAGTCACGTTGCTCTTTTGAGTAGCGGCGCACCTTGCACCGCACAGGTTCCGCGCCTTGCTTCAACGTCACGACTAGTGGCGCCACGTCGACAGGAGGATCTCGACCAAGGGTTAGTCGAAACACGTCTTCGTAGCGTACCAACAGCTTCGACAGCTGTGTCGCGACGTCGTCACCGCACCCTGTGACTTCGCAGTCGTGCACCTTCTCTGCGAGCTTCGCTCGCACCGCCATTCGATCGACTTCCATCGACCACCCAGACTTCAAATCTGGGAAACACGCTCGCTCTTCTTCAGGGTAGAGCGAGGCTTCTTCGGGAGACGATGTAGGCTTGTTCATCGTCTCAACCACCTTCATGGCTGCAAAAAATCAGCGGGGTCTCCTTG